TGCTGCTTGGCCTGCTGTGTTCATCCAGCCCTGCACCTTGTTGTCTCGGATTCTCCAGCATCTGCAGTTCCTACTATCTCTGTATCTTTTGACAATCTTCCTTACTATCTATAACTTCACCAATTTTCATGTTGTCTGCAATTTTACTAATCAGATTACCTACATTTTCATCAAAACTGTTTATTTATATTACAAACATCAGAAATCCCTGCACTGATCCCTGTAGAGCACCACTGGACATAGATCTCTAGTCAGAAAAACACACCTCCATCCCTCTGTCTTCTGTGACCAAGCCAATTTTCTCTCCAACTTGCCAACTCACCATGGCTCCCATGTGACTTAATTTTCTAGCCCAGCCTATCATGAGGGGCCTTATCAAATGCTTTAGTGAAACTCATGTAGACAACATCCACTGCCCTACCTTCATCAATTATCTTCATTACTTCATCAAAAATCTCTATCAAGTTTGTGAGACACACATAAAGCCACTCTGACTATCCTAATAAGTCCATTGTTCTACAAATGCGAGAAAATCCTGCCAGTTAGAATCTTCTCCAATAATTTCCCTACCATCAATTGAATTATTGCCCTTTTAAAAACAATCAGTTGGCTTTTACTTTCTTACCAGTGAGCAGGTGAATTTTCTGTTTCTCAAAGTAAAGATTATATGAGTCGCTGCTCGATAAGTTTCTTACAGCCAGTATTAATATCTACATCAAGCTCTATCCAGATCAGGTTCAGCACAACCAAATACAGACCAAAATACATTCTACTTTGCTGCAACATGTTCAAACTCCCATTTCAGAATCTCATCTCTGGTTGTTCCAAAATAACAATTCCACTTCCCAAACACTGGTCAGTTCTACAGTTTTCGAAGCACAATTGAAAATTGAAAGGTAATTCTATGCAATGAGCTTCTGCCCACTACAGACAAAGTTGAGGATGTGCCAAATTAATTTAAGAAATGGAATTTCAGCCAACAGATAAAGGAGATTTCTTTTAATCTCCATTTCAGACTGAAATTTGAATTCAGCCTAAAAGAAAACGATGGGAACTTGCCTTTTACATCAATCAATTTTCACCATGATAGGAACAGATATGACTATTTGCTAACAGCAAATTCAAAATGTCTTTGGGTGAAGCCTGGGAACAGATCATCCAATTGCACTTTTGGCCAGGGTCCAGAAAGAAAACTAAACTCCTCTTAGTCTGATGAAGTACAAATATCAGCATCCCTCAGAAAAAACAGTGAACTTGCAAGAATTTGCTTACGAGTGCCTGTATTTTATTTTCGAACCCTTTCCTTCCAGAAAGCCGTATTTGGTATCAATCACCTCATTGGTTTTTCCTGTTTCTTCAAAAGCCAATTTCAATTCCACAGCAAGGTATTTGCATACTGAGGAGTGAAAAAAAAAATCAAAGAAGGAATAACCGAAAATGCAGACTTTGTTATTATACTAGAGGAGGAACATTGTACATTGCATTCTTTGAGCTGAGCTGGACTGATCATATAGCCAGAGTGCATGATCCATGCTTAACAAAGTTAATCATTTATAGAAAGCTCTAATCTAGGGTGTGCTGTCACATTTCTCAAAGGTAGTGCTACAAAATCACTCTGAACGCTGTGTTTAGTAGTTTTGAAACCAACCCCAGAGTCCTGGCAGCAACTCACCCAGGATCACAGCACCCGACACATTAAAACACAGAGAGAAATTGCAAGTTAAGGAAATTCCAAGCCAGGAGCTCCTGCAAAACTCCATTGTCTTGCCATTCTCTCCTGTTCACAGCAACACCTCTCAGACATTGATCAGTCAAATGAAACCATTTGAAACCATTGCAAACACCCCAGATGACCAACATGGTCACTTGAAAGGGTGCACAACACTGTCCGAATTATCGGTGATCCAAAAACCATGTAATTGTCCCAAGGATAATTGTCTATTAGGATACATTACACTGGAAGAAATATATGAATGCTGAATTCTGACGTACATAAGAAAAAAAATGTCCTAAATATTTCACAATGGATTCAAGCGTGAAAATCTCCTATCTTGTAAATAGACATTTAATCAGAATGTACATAAGCTGTTGCTAAGAGAGTTATAACACCATTCCATTTGATTTTTACATCCCTTCAGCCATCTTGGTCACATAGATTGGCCATTTCTAGAGTCATAAAGGTATACAGGATGGTAAGGGGCCCTTCAGTCTAACTTGTCCATGCCAAACAGGTTTCCTAAACTGAACTAGTCCTATTTGCCTGTGTTTGGCCCACATCCCTCTAAAACTTTCCTACCCATTTACCTATCCAAATATCTTTTAAATGTTGCAATTGTACTCGCCCCTAACACTTCCTCTGGCAGTTCATTCCATATATGCACCAGCCTCTGTGTGAAAAAGTTGCCCCTCGGGTCCCTTTTAAATGATTCCCCTCTCACCTTAAACCTGTGCCGTCTAGCCCAGGCAAATAAGTCCCAGTCTATCCAGCCTCTCCTTATAACACAAACCTTCCAGTCTCGGTAACATCCTTGTAAATCTTTGTTACACACTATCCAGTTTAATAGCATTCTTCCTATAGCAGGGCAACCAGAATTGTGCGTAACACTCCAAATTTGGCCTTACCAATGTCTTGTACAGCTGTAACATGACGTCCCATCTCCTGTACTCAATGCTCTGATCAATGAAGGCAAGTATGCCAAATGCTTTTTCACCACCCTGTCTACCTGTGATGCCACTTTCAAGAAACCATGCACCTGCACCTCTATATCTCTCTGTTTGACAACTCTCCCCAGGGCTCTACCAACAACTGTGTAAGTCCTGCCTTGGTTTGTCTTACCAAAATGCAACACATTCATCAAAATTAAACTTCATCTGCCCTTCATCGGCCCAGTTGATCAAGATTCCATTGTACTCTTAGATAGCCTTCTCCAGCATGAGTCTGCCAGTCACATGAGGTGTCCCACATGAAACAGTGACTTATCTTTCTCTTTCAAATATCTGAAGAACCAAACGTTGATAGTGATCTTGTTTTATAATAGTACAGTGATCGCAGTATTGTGCTCAACTGAGGGACTTTAATGCTGTTGTTCGATTATGAGGACAATTTGAAGGAGGTGAGACTGTTCTTATTGGAGAGAAGGCGGCTGAGAAGAGATTTGATAAAGGTTTTCAAAATCGTGAGCAGGCTGTACAGAGTGGCTATGAAGCAGCTGTTCCTGCTTATAAAAGAAAAAAAAGCATGAGCGGGCATAGATTTAAAGTAACATGCAAACGAAACAAGGGTGATGTGACAAAATAACTTTTTCACAGTGAGCAGAACAGTTAGGGAATGGAATGCACTGCCTGGAAATGTGTTGGAGGAAGGTTCAATTGAGGCATTAAAAAAGGCAGCAGATGATTATTTGGATAGAAATGGTGTGCAGGGATATAAGGATCAGCACTAGGTGATAGATCCAGTGCAGGCATAATGGGCCAAATGACCTTCCTCTGTGCCTGAAGATTTCTATAATTATTTGGCACATTGTCTTTTATCGAGAACCCCAAGTGTTGTCTGGTACATATGTGCAGAGCAAAACAACCTTAAGAAAGCGCCTCAATGCAAACCTTAAAATAGCATTATGCTATCAGTCTAATACTTCTATAAGATACTGCGATAGTTACCTTAGAAAGGCTGACAATTTTAAGTAGACATTTGATAATAGAGAACTTGAGCATTGCTGCAAAAATACATTTTGTTGAAGGCTTTGATATTACATTTATCAGAACAATTCACAAGTAGTATCAAAGTGAAGAGATGAGAACTGGCCCTAAAATAATTTATTTTATATATATATATGACTTGGATGAGGAAAGTGAATGTACTATAGCCAAGCTTGCGGGCTACACAAAAATAGGTGCAATAGCAAGTAATGAGGATGACACGAGTCTAAAGGTGTATATCGACAAATTAAGTGAGTGGGCGACAACATGTGGGAAAATATGAAGTTATGCACTTTGGCAAGGAGAATAGAAGAGCTGAATATTATTTAAAATGGGAAAAACCTGCAGGAATCTGCAGAATGAAGGAATTTGGGAATCCTTGTGTATGAATCACAAAAATCTAATATCCAAGTACAGCAGGTAAAAGAGAAGGGAATTGACTATTGTCCTTTATTTTTACACTCCATTCCCTTTGAAATAGAGAGGTCTTGCTAAAACCACGCAAAGCACTAGTCAGACCACAACTGGAATACTGAGAACAGTTTTGGCCCTTTTTTCTAAGGAAAGGCATACTGGCATTGGAGGCAATCCAGTGAAGGTTCACTTGATTGATTCTGGGTATAGAGGGGTTTTCTTATAGGAGAGATTAAGTACATTGGGCTTGTAATCATTAAAGTTTTAAAGAATGAAAACTGACATTATTGAAACGCACAAGGTTCTTCGGAGGCTTGGCAGGGTAGTTTGTTTCCTCTTGTGGGACAGTCTAGGATCAGACAGCATAAACTCAGAGTAAGGTGTCACCCACTTAAGACAGAGATAAGTCTTTAAGCTTTAAGCCTTTAAGTGAATTTATGGAATTCTTTACAGCACAGGGGTTTCAAGCCCGAGTCACTAAGTATATTCAAAGCAGGAATCAAAAGTTATGGAGATCAGGCAGGAAAGTGGAGTTGGAGATTATCAGATGAGGTATGGTCTCATTGAACAGTGGAGCAGACTTCAAGGACTGAATGGCCTACTTATGCTCCTACATCTTCATGTCTAATTGGAGAATAACATTAAATACTATGGGAGACCAGAGATGAGTATGTGCTTTGATAAAATGTGTCCTTTCTCAGCAATGTCGATAATTTTGTTAATTTGAAATAAAACTCCCAACCAGTTTAAGGAAACAAAAAGGTATCTTTGTTCTGCTTAGCTTATCAGTTAATGAATACAATTGGTTGTGACTGTTTCTTGAAATAGAATGAAACAAGAGAAATAACAATGCGATTCCTCTTTTCTATTTTAGTTCCAAAAAAGGAACAATTGAAACAACAAAGAATTTGGATTCAGTTTGAAACAAATAGAAAATAAGAGGAACTTAGAATGTTATTAAACCGCAGAAAAGATTTACAAGGATGTTACCGAGTCTGGAGGGTTTGAGTTATAATGAGAGGCTGGGACTTTTCTTCCCTGGAGCATAGGAGACTGAGGGGTGACCTTATAGAGATTTATAAAATCATGAGAGGCATAGATAAAATGAATAGCCAAGGTCTTTTTCCCAAGGTTGGGGAGTCCAAAATGAGAGGACGTAGGTTTAAGACGAGAAGAGAAAGATTTTAAATGGACCTGAGGGGTAACTTTTTCACACAGAGGGTCTTGCATATATGGAACAAACTGCCAGAGAAAGTGGAGGTGAATAGAATCACAACATTTAAAAGACATTTGGACAGGTACATGAATAGGAAAGGTTTAGTTGGATATAGGTCAAACGCAGGCAAATGGGACTAGGAAACTTGGTCGGCATGGACAAGTTAGATGAAAGGGTCTACTTCTATCCTGTATGACTCTATGATACTATTATAATTGCTTAGAGACTTGCTATTAAATAGTTTGAAAGATAAAAACACTAGTGAGAGGTCGAGCAGGAACAAGTTGAACAGAGAACTGCACCAGTGAGCCCATCAGAGACCACAAAACATGCTTATTTTATTTGACTAGATCAACCTAATAGAGTTTCATAGTGAAATGCATAAATGTGTCTTGGCCGGAAAGATTTGGCATTAAAGATTGCGATAAAAATTGACTCTTTGGCAAGCTGTGTCCAGCTGGGATGTAGAACTCACCTCTCCACACACCATATACGCCCTCCACCCCACCACCATCCCCCAACTCCCCGCTCCCCCCCCGCCCCCCACCGAGGAAAAAAAAAATTTGACGTCCTTTGTTATTAGCAACAACTGTCATTATTTAGCACTTATGAGATCATAAAACATGGCTCAGATGGATAAATCAAAAAATTACACCAAGTTCAAGAATGTACTCAAGTGAGTGGAACCACGACTAAGGCAAAGGGATGGAGGGAACGTACAAGACATCAGAGTCAGAGGCTTTGGTTGGGCAGCAGTACAGGGTTACATAGAGAGAGAGGACAGTGGCCAAGGAAGGTTTGATGCAAAATAAAGATTGCTGGACTCTCACATCAATGTTGAAAATTGATTATTTCCATACTATTATAACATTCCAATTTCCTATCTAAGACTTTCTAGTTTCACCAAGCCAGCTAATTTGCACTGAATTATAAGCTAGTTGTGTTGAAACTTCCAATGCACTAGGAACTAAGGTAAATATATGTAAAATTGCAAGTTTTTGTTTCAAAAATGCAATTTCAGAACCTCAAGACAAACATTTATTGCTCATCTTGAGTTGCTCGTAAGAAGTTGGTGGTGAGACACCTTGTCGAACTATTGCAGTCTGTGTGGCAAAGACATTGTCGCCATGCTGTTTGGTAGCCAATTCCAGCATGTTAACCCAGCACCGATGAAGGAACGGCAACAGACATACAAGTCAGGATGGTGTGTGAGACTTGGAGGGGAACCTGGGGGTGATGATGCCTTTACCCTGTTATATTGAAGAGATCATAGTTTTGAGAAGCTGCTGAAAAGCCTTGACCAGTTACTTCAGTGAATTCTATAGAGAGTTCACAACATAGCCAGAATGCACAGTTCTGCAACACAACCCCACCCCACCCGCAGTGCATAGTGGTTCATTCAGGTTTTTTTTGTGGAGTCCCTGGGAATTCATGAATGATTACAGGAATGCTTGATAGGAAAAAACATGACATTTGGATTTATCTATATTCAACAGCCAAGCTAACACTTCCCTAAAAGCTGTTGCAGTATTCACTCACTCCGTCCTTTTCACGGAAGCACATTTTCCTTAAGTCTCGTCTCTAGGATTTATAGACGCATTCCACGCCCCCCGGTAGGAATTAAGAAACACTCTCCAACTTTTTCCTGCACCTCCCAATTGACAATTCTGACACATTTTAGGATGAGATTCTACATTTTAAGAGGGAATTCCTGACTGACCATGTAACCTGGCATTGCCACTTGCAGCATGGACTGAAGTACTGAAGCAGTAGTATCCAGTAATGAACAGCAGTTTGGATCAACAGCATACATATCAAGTCCAATAATTTTAGGGCCTGAACTCTCCCATGCCTACTCCTCTACCTCATACACCAGGTCTTGTTATCAGATAGCCTGCCATTACACACTATCTACGGTTAGCATATAACAGTCTCCATTAACAGCTATTTACCCTCCTAGCCAGACCGCTATCAACTCCTTTGTTTGTCCAACTGTCATCTCTCTCTTTGGGCTCTATCCCCACCTATCATTTACTCCTTAACCCCTCCACCCCATCCTATCTTATGCATATACACCAATATTTTCCTAGCTACCATCAGTTCTGAGGAAGGGTCACGTTAATGGAAACGTTAACTCTGACTTTTTTCCCCCACAGATGCTGTCAGATCTGCTGAGCTTGTCCAGCAACTTCTGTTTTTGTATTTCTGATGAAGGGTCTAGGCCCAAAACGTCAGCCTTCCTGCTCCTCTGATGCTGCTTGGCCTGCTGTGTTCATCCAGCTCTACACCTTGTTATCTCAGATTCTCCAGCATCTGCAGTTCCTACTATTTCTGTTTTTGTTCTTGTTTTACAGCATCTCCAGTTCTTGCAGTTTTTATTTAGTATACTTATATACTAGTTAACCTGAAAAACTGGTAAAACCTGAAAGGCAGTCTGAAATAAAAGCTGGCATTCACTTCCATCATATAATTACATTGAAACTGCACAAAGGGAAGTGGGAACACATAAAAACACAATTTATGTATTAAAGTATTTTAGCTTTCTGTCTACATCACAGTATTCCTCCATTCCTCAACATGCACTTCAAATCTGGCAAAAATCCATGCTCTCCCCTGGATTACCTTTAGGGAGAAGAGAATAGAGGGTTATGACAGTCAATTAAGATGAAAAAAAAAGTGAGAAGCTCAAGTGACACATAACCCTGAATGGACTACTAGGCAGAATAGCCTGTCTTTGTGCTGCAGAGGGCTCTGGACAGAGTAGTTAGGAAGAAACCTCCCACACATGAAAGGATTGAGAACATGATTCTGAGGAGATCTTCACAGGGTGACAGATGAGAGGATGTTGCCTCACACTGAGAATCTAGAACTAGGGAATCTCTTTTGCAGGTGAAAAGTGGAGCTGGATCATTGAATGCACTTAAGGCTGAATGGGACAGATTTTTAATCTACAAAGGAGTCAAGATTTACATGGTTGGGGCAGATGTAGACAGAAAAGGGAGTTAAGACCACAATCAGATTACCAACCATTTTCTTGAAGGTGGAGCAGATTTGATGGGGTGAATGGTCAATCCTGCTCCTGATTCTTATGTTCTTACCATCTGAATATTTCAGACATTATTCCTTTTGTCAAAAGTTCCCAATGAGGAACATTATAAAGTTGGTTTGGCAACAATGCCTGCAGCATAACAGTTAGCTTAAAGCTGATCTTGAAAGAAGCAGTTCCTCTTCCCTTTTCCCATCAATTTCACGTTTAACTCTGTGCTACCCAACAGTAATTATACAAATAATTAAATTGGAATCTGAATGGTTTGCAGAAAGCCTATAAACACTAGAAGCACAATGAGAATAGTCTATTGTATTGCTGTTTTCCACATTGGGTACAAGGACCAAATCAGGGTTCAGTTTAATAAATATCATAGACCCGAAAGGGGAAGTAGCCCTGATTTCAAACGGTATCGAAATGATCCCCCCGGGTAATTTGTTAAAGAAGTTATGAAATATACTATAAACACATTGTTTCTATAATGAACAGCAATAATTCCCGATTATGGCTTTTTATACACTGTTCGGAGAGGATCGTCAAAGTGAACATGGATTTTTTTTTTAAAAGACTTAAAGCACGGAACGTTTGTTTGTGTGCATAACAAGTACAGCAGCCAACAGTGTAGTAAGAAGCGGGGCACAAACCTTCACATGTATTGGGGAGTTTCACCCAATCGGAATCATCATCGCCCCAGACTGGCCCAGAGAACAGCAGAAGGGCTGATATCAGCCGGGTCACCGTCAGCATATTGCTATAACTTTTAATGCAAGAAAACAGAATAGAAAAGTGAACATTAAAAAGATGCAGTGGTTTTGTTCAATTGCCTTATGCTTGAAGCTCAGGCTGACTTCACCGAGAAATTGACACAGTCGGTTACGTACTCACGTTGTATCCTTTTCCTCCTCGCTCTGACCAATCCCCGCGTCCGCCGTGTCCACCCCGACCAATCACGGCCACGTTAACAGAGTATGCGCAAAGCTCTGCGCTGTGTCCAAAGAGGGGACCAGTACTTGGAGAGGTGGAATGTTGCTTTAGTGCGTTATGAGCAAACCTTATCAGTTTTATTTGTAAAGCTACACGTTCTTGTTTGCTTTACACATCTGTCTGTCATTCCTTCCTCCTACATTTCGAGAGGGTACGTTGGTGGAGTCTTGGGCTTTAGCCCTGGCAGCCTGGCTAGGTTATGTTAGAGGAGCAAATAACTGCAAATGCTGGAATCTGTACTGAAAACGACAAATGCTGGATGGAGATCACAGCGGGTCAGACAGCACCCATGGAGAGAACACAAGCTAACGTTTCAAGTGTAAAAGACTGTTCATCAGATTTGTGATCGGTGCATTTTCATTCGGATCCCATCTTGTAATAACTCAGTTCTGAGGAAGGGTCACAACTTGAAACGTTAACTCTGCTTTCTGTCCACCGATGCTGCCAGACACACAGTTTTGCCAGCAATTTCTATTTTTGTTTCAGATTTCCAGCATCTGCAATTCTTTAATAATAAACAAAATAACTGTGGTTGCAGTAAATCAGGAACAAAAACACAAGTTGCTGGAAAGGCTCAGCAGGACTGGCAGCATCTGTGAACAAGAATCAGAGTTAACATTTCAGGTCCGATGACCCTTCCTCAGAACTGAGTTATTATAGGAAGGGTCACTGGACTTGAAACATTAACTCTGACTTTTCTTCACAGATGCTGCCAGACCTGCTGAGCTTTTCCAGCAACTTCTGTTTTTGATCCACAATTCTCCACACCACCACCTCCCCTCTCCAACAAATAGACCAACACCCATATGCAATTAGTTTAAAATCCAAACTGTTAAAGGAACAAAACAAGTATACATAAATCACAATTCATCATTGTTCATCATAATGTGTCAGGCTGTTTTTTTTCTTGTATACAAACTTACCTCGTGCAGCAGCGGCCTTCTTGTTTTCAGCGGCAGCAGCGCGAGCCTTCAGTTGTTCAGCAAAGGAGGAGTCCCAGAGCGGGCGTGAGTGGTGCAGAGAACACTTAAAGAGGGAACACTGCAAAACTAAAAAAAACTAATTAATTTTAAATAATTAACTAAGTAGAGATGGCCGGCCAGGTGATGTGTTGTAGCTGTATGATGTGGGAGCTAGCTGATCCCCTTGAGAACGGCAGTGACCACATCTGCAGCAAGTGTTGGCTGCTTGAGGATCTCCGGCTCAAAATTGATGAGCTGGAATCCAAACTGCAAACACTGTGGCACATCCGGGAGAGGGAGAGATACCTGGATGCTGCGTTCCAGGACGCAGTCACACCTGGTAGATTAACTAATGTTAATTTGATCGGCGGGCAGGGACAGCAGTGTGTGACTGTGAGTGAGGCACATAGAGGGACCCTGCAGACAGGAACACAGCAGCCGCAGCCCTTGACATTGTCCCACAGGTATGAGGCACTTGCTCCCTGCGTGGATGAGGAACAGGGCTGCAGGAAGGATGAGTCAACTGACCATGGCACCATGGTTCAGGAAGTCATTCAAGAGGGGGGAGCAAAAGACAGATTGTAGTTGTAGGGGATTCCATCATCAGGGGGATAGACAGTATCCTTTGCAAGCAGGATACAGAGTCCCGTTCTATGGTGTGTTGCCTGCCCAGTGCCAGGGTGCGAGACATCTCTGACCGGCTTGAGAGGATATTAGAGAGGGAGGGGGAGGATCCAGTTGTTGTGGTCCACGTAGGTACCAACAACATAGGCATAACTAGGAAAACAGGCCTGCTTCAGGATTATGAAAAGCTAGGAACAAAATTAAAAAACAGGTCTTCAAGGGTCATAATCTTTGGATTGCTGCCCGAGCCACGTGCAAATTGGCACAGGGAGGCGAGGATCAGGGAAGTAAACACATGGCTAAAAGAGTGGTGTGGGAAAGAGGGTTTCCTTTACATGGGGCACTGGCATCAGTTCTGGGACGGGAGGGATCTATACCACTGGGATGGACTCCACCTGAACAGGGCCGGGTCCAGTGTTCTGGCGAAAAGGGTAAATAGGGTGGTCAATAGGACTTTAAACTAGTAAGTAGGGGGGAAGGGAGAAGTGAGCGTACAGGGAGTATAACAATAAATGGAAGGCAAAGCAGCAGGTTAGCAGGTGACGAGGAAGCTTCAACTCCATTGAAAATTAGGAAAAAAGTTAAAGGGAAGGAGAACTCAAGAGCTGTTAGTAATGGAGGTGATAGGACTCAAAAAGAAGGTGCAAAAACTGGCATGAGGGCACTTTATCTGAATGCTCGGAGCATTCGAAACAAGGTGGATGAGTTGACGGTGCAAATCATGGCAAGTGGGTATGATTTAGCGGCCATTACAGAGACATGGTTGCAGGATGGTCATGACTGGGAGTTAAATATCCAGGGGTATCAAACTGTTTGGAAGGACAGACAGGAAGGTGAGGGAGGTGGTGTCGCACTGATTTTTATGGATGATATCAGGGTGGTAGTGAGAGATGATATAGGTTCTACTGAACAAAACGTTGAATCCATTTGGGTGGAAATTACGATTAGCAGGGAGAAGAAGTCACTGATAGGTGTGCTCTGTAGGCCACCAAATAATGACATCGTGGTGGGACGGGCAATAAACATAAAAACAGCTAATGCATGTAAAAATGGTACGGCAATTATCATGGGGGATTTTAATCTACATATAGAACATAGAACATAGAACATTACAGTGCAGTACAGGCCCTTCGGCCTCGATGTCGCGCCGACCTGTGAAACCAATCTGAAGCCCATCTAACCTAAACTATTCCATTATCATTCATATGTTTATCCAAAGACCATTTAAATGCACTTAAAGTTGGCAAGTGTACTACTGTTGCAGGCAGGGCATTCCACGCCCTTACTACTCTCTGACATCTGTCCTATATCTATCACCGCTCAATTTAAAGCTATGTCCCATCGTGCTAGCCATCACCATCCGAGGTAAAAGGCTCCCACTGTCCACCCTATCTAATCCTCTGATCATCTTGTATGTCTCTATTAAGTCACCTCTTAACCTTCTTCTCTCTAACGAAAACAGCCTCAAGTCCCTCAGCCTTTCCTCATAAGACCTTCCCTCCATACCAGGCAACATCCTGGTAAATCTCCTCTGCACCCTTTCCAATGCTTCCACATCCTTCCTATAATGCGGCGACCAGAACTGTACGCAATACTCCAAGTGCGGCCGCACCAGAGTTTTGTACAGCTGCAACATGA